TTTGAGACAGGGTCTCACTCTGTCATCCAGGCTGGAGTGCAGTGGCATAGTCTCAGCTCACTGCAACCTCTACCTCCAAGGTTCAAGCAATTCTCCTGCCTCAGTCTCCTAAGTAGCTAGGACTACAGGCATGGGCCACCACACCTGGGTAATTTTAGTATTTTTGGTAAAGATGGGGTTTGGCCAGGCTGGTCTCAAACTCCTGACCTCAGGTGATCCACCTGCTTCAGCCTTTTAAAGTGCAGGGATTGCAGATGTGAGCCACCGTGCCCGGCCTGAGCTAGACACATTTAATTAGCTCTGCATGCCCAGATACTCTCACATACACAGGGACACAGGGAGAACAGCCATCATACTGTCACCAACAGACAGAAGCAAAAGTAGGATTTAGAAGAAAAAAGGGAGAAAAGAAATCCTGAGGGAAGAGACTGTGGTTTAACTGTAATGGAAGAAATTCAAATATATGTTGGATAAATGAACAAACAAGTCACGTGTGCTTTGTATCACAAATTATGAGACACGTAGGAGGAAGGATGGGCTGGCATGAGGTGTCCAGAAACCAGCACATCCATTCAGAGAGCTGACAGAGAAACATTTCTCCATATTTGGAAATTTTATACCCAAGACTCCCACTGGCACTTTTCAGCAATTTTTAAAGACAGGGAATAAACGTGTCAACATTTATTGAGTATTTACTGTGTAGCCAGCACTGTTTTACAGGCACTACTCAACGTGGTTCTCACAATGACCCCACGAGAGAGTTATTAACACTCATTTCAAGGATAAGGAAGGAACCAGAAGCACTGAGAGGTGAAGCCTTAGGTCACAAAACCAGCAGGGGTGACACCAGCATGGTGATTTTTTTTTTTAGGGGAAGGTCTAAGAGTCCTTTGTGAAGGGAAACATTTCACTTTCAAATGCCTAAACTCCTGCTGCAATTCCAGGCATTGGTTTATACTTGTATCTTAGTCACAGTTATTAGTTAGGCATATGAATTTAAAATGAAAGGGAGAAATACTAAAGATTTGAAATTTTAGTTATGTGTCACCTCAAGGGAAAGTTAATTATCATTTCTGTCTGCAACACCTACACACAAACTGCGACTCCAGTAATAAAATGAGAGCTTGGAAAAATAAGCACCTAGAGCTGATGAAAAGAATGCATTTGTCTCAGGGCAGAGGCTGAATATGAAGCCAACTGTTCTTAGAGAGAAACATGTCAATACTAAATCTTTTCACCAGTCTTTGATGGATGTCCTAATCTTCTCAGGTCAACATGGGCTCACCCTGGCAATGTACTGTAATAACTTATTTAAAAGGCAGCTGGCTTTTATAAATGACCT